ACCACGCCTGGCTGCCAGACAAGAGAAGTCGATTCTTACGTACCTCATTCACTTCATCAACAGTCATCAATGTTTTCACGCATATTATCTGCAGCTTTAAATATACCCTATGTACCTATGCATACATTAACCACTTAAGAATTAAGTCCATCATGATATGTATTTATTCGCTGGTGGCAATTGAGCAACTTAGATGAGTATATGGTTAAGGTAATTAAGGCAAAGATTTCGGAATGTGAGATAATCGGCTGGAACTTGGGAAAAATCTTTATTTGGACCACACGATACATGATTTAAAAAAAAGAGAATTTTATTCTCCACAATATCTATACATTAGAATAAAACTCATAAGAAAACAAATATTAAAAATATTATGTAATATATCCATTTTATTTTTACGGGTGCTACGATATGTAAGTTTAAAAAAATCTAAATTAAGAAAATAAATATTTTGGACAAGTATTATCGTTGACTGTTTAACATTCCGAATTGAAACCCTTGTTCTCCTTAACTTCAAAAATAAACTTTTGTATAGACAACGACAACTAAGAAACCATGACAGAAAAATATCGGTATGCCACCCTAGAAGAGGGAAAAGCAGAACACCATTTTAAAACAACGCTCACAGACCATACACATTTTTAGCCAAGTCAACAAATACGTTTTTGTACAACTCTTTTCAGCAATCTGATAATTCATTCCATTTGAAATGAGACTGACAAACAGAATTTGAGACTGCTGGCGAATTAACGTAATGAGAAAATAACTTTACCATGCATTCCGCTTTGTATGTGAGAAATTCTTCATATACATCGGTTTCAGTAATAGTTTAGTAATTAGCATATTATTACTACAGTTTGTAATATATTGTGCCATGACAGATCACGCTAGAGAACATCTTTCGATAATGACTGGAACTAATTATGCGTCTTTGAATATTCGGGAATAATCTTAAAAGCCAGGACGCCGGGCCTGAACTACTGCCAGTATGGCTTTCGTAATGGGCGCTCCAATATAACCACGTTTTATATGACATAGGAGAGAGATAGGAGAGAGATACTAATAACCATATGGAAATGGATGTAAGGGAGCAATGCCGAACAAAGACAAGCGGTCAGGCGATAGAGTCCTGGTAAACGAAACGGTGTCCTCCATCATATATGGTACCCCGATTTACAATTTATGCATGGGTGATGTGATTGATAGTAGTGTTTGTTCGATAGGGCTACAGTTGCTTTAGGGATATTATAGATTAGATTATTCTCTAAAAACATGACAACAATGGTGTCGGACAGCTAATTTTACAGACAAAGCTTGAGTAATAATAATAATAACAGGTTACAGTAAGTTTTGCTGTATTTGCCTTATGTAACAAGAGTAGGTCCAATTGTTCATGTTATTGAGATGCATTCCTAAACTTAGAACTTTTTAATTTCCTATCTATAAGTTGAGTGCACAAATGTCAAATGACCTCCACAACGCGTTGTGATCAATACATATTCCGTCACCTCGGTTGTCCTCAATAGCCATAAATTGATCGCTAACAGTCTACGTACCTGTTGACGCTGGAAACTCAAAACGCGCGCGATGAAGTGCATTAACCTTATGAGTGAATGTACTGCTGAGTTAAGTCACTGTTGTCCAAATCTTTCAAAGTACGACAATATTTTAAAGAAAATATATCTCAAAGAAAAAACTAAATTGTCTATTTACTTGTAATGCAAAAAAAATGAAAAACATTAACACAACGTGTTCTATATTGTTTATATTTTAAATAGAAAAATAATTTTACTTGATATGGGTCATCCCCATTAAGAACGGAGAATTCAGTAAGTTTTCAAATGCAAGAGTCTAGTTACACAAACCAAAGTCCCAAGGAGTTCTACTATCAAATACCAATACATTGTCGACCAATAATGGCTTGGCTTTGTCATCAATTCATCAATTTCTACAACATATATTCCTGCGAAGATCTTTGATCTAAATACAGTGTTTATTACTGCATAGAAATCGCATATTCTAAATAATGAAATACGAAAAGAAAAAGCACTGTTACTGCATCATTACAAATGTACAATAACTCAGTGTTATACTAAAGAAAAAATTAATAGAAATGACCCTTTACCGGACTCAAATATTATCACTAATTTAATCAAATATAATTATAATAATAAGTTGAAAATGTAGAACTCTTTCAGTATTTCTGCAATTTAAGAATAAGACAATGTGACAATATCTTTCCAAAAACGAACAAGTGTAGTATTACAAGATAAATAAAAATAGTAAAACACATTTTCATGTCACAGCTGTTTCTTAAATTGCACAAACAAATACACATTGTGTTAATGTTTAATGACGTAACATTTCTCTTTCAATTTTTGTGATTGTGGTCTACATAGAATGCAAAATTAAATAGTACTTAAAAAGCGCTTTAAGCATTTTAAGGAATCATGAAAGTGATATCTTCTACTGCTTATTATATATACTAAAATACTGGTGTTATTTTATCAGGGGTCTTAGTGTCTAAGGAGCTATGCCAAATACTGTTATGATAATATATTGTGCACACTTAAGTAATTAAATGTTATTGACAACACAGTTTAATATGTTTATTGATTATTTTATTTACTATTTACAAAGTACCTGATGCGATTAACTGGACATGTTATATGGCTAGTAAATTGGGGTTCATTGGGGTTCCATATTATTAAAGATAAGGGGCATGAATTTAATTATTATGTTATGCGCAATATGCAATGCAATGTCCGGTTAACTGCTAATATGATAAAAATCTATTAATAATACCTTTTGAGTATAAGAATCCCTCAAGAAACATTCAGCATAAGCTGGTCGACTGTTGTATATGTGAACGATTGTATTAAAGTTTTAGTTTATTACTACAGCGGATTATTGCATGATAATTTAATAATCTTTGTAATATTTTCCTAGATTCCAATATCCATGACTTAAATCTATGAGTATGTTGTATTAAGAAATTTGAATGTCATTCATGATTCCTTTACGTGCTGAATAAAAATAGTATGAATATTATAGAAATATAACATGTCAATGGTAAAAATCTCTTTAATATGATATTAAAATACTTCCTATACTTTCCAAATAGTACCAAAACTGTCATGTTATATTACTATTCAATATGCCTTAACTACTCCACAGGAAAAAAAGCGTAAGTAGTTTTGATGAAACAAGTAATAACTGCATTACAGACTATAGACATTTTTTTTCTAATTGATTTACATTTCTATTGCTTTTCTTTCTACTATAAAAAATCTATGTCTAAAGTCTGAAGCAGATTACGATACGAACACTAGTTTTGAAAAGGTAAGATTTGAAAACATTTAAATGGACAACATCACAATAAAAAGCAAATGACTTCAAAATCATCAACCGTTCCTGTGCTCACCAGATGGCGTTAATCAAAGAGAAGGTTTAATTCTCCAATCACTATCACTTTTTTATGCTAATAGCCGGTAAATGAGGAGAAGGATCGCCACGCTAAACAGCAATAGGCGCTGCCCATTGACACCCGTAACACCAAACTGCGTTATCGGCTGTTTAAAGGTTTTGGGGGCTTTCGGGGATTGGAGAGACTTAGGAGGGTGCTATTGAGCCTCCAGTAATCTCCCTAACACGGCCAAACACAAAGCAAGCATTGTTTCACTACCGAATTTTAAATACCAATAGCAGACATCAGAAAATAGTGTATTGGACATAAGATCTTGCGCCATACTAGCGATCCTGACGGAAAACACAGGCACGGTAGCCATTCCACATTTATATACCCTTTCAAAACTAGTATAATATATAAAATTAAGCACACTGGGGACTGTTTTTCGTTATTTATAATGAAAACGACATTTGGAGCATCATTATGCAGTTAGTACATTTAAACGTCATCCACATAGTGCCAATGAATGAATAGGGAGAGGATTTTGCTATGAGACATAACATTGATTATACATCATTCTATACTAGGTTAACTCATACGGAACAATACTTTTTAAAATTAAAAAAAACGTGTTTTAGGTATGTATATCTGTTGAGTACAGCTGTACTAGACAAATGCATAATCAAGAGTTTGTTCGCAATCTCTCTACTGAGCCTATCAAATTAATAAATATCTAAGTTTTATAAAAATTATGTTCACACAATGTGTAAGAGAAGTCTAAGTAACATAATTTTGTTGTTATTATTGTAAATGTACTAGCATTGAATCAAAACGTAGAGTAGTGAACCTAATATATTAATTTACTCTTTGAACTGTTTCGTTGGCCGAGTGGTCGCAAGTGCGACTGCCGGACAAGGCTTCGATTCCCGGGTCGGGCAAAGTATTACTGGGTTTTCAAAAAAGCTCAGTAGTCGTACGGAGTCTGGAATAGTGCCCGGTATATAACAATAGCCTCACCCCCTATTACATAGGACTCAGTACATAAATAGTGAAAAGTGGGCGTTACATTGTACAATGGCATTAAGTGCCGTAATGTGCACCTCTGGCTACACTTTCGGGGATAAAATACCATAGTACCATATGTAATTTTGTACAGATTTTCGAAGTTCATTTTTATTATTAAATAGATACGAGTCACTGAGTGTCCACTAAATGAAAAGTCTATTACCTACTACATAAGGTTTTGGTTTTTCATGTTATAATCAGTCGGGTAAAAATGAGTGGCACTTCTGTTCATATAAAAAGCATTCTCATGAAATTATTTAAATTGTTACGTAAGGACATTTATCCGGCATGTGTAGTATACATCCATTTTAAAAACATGTTTTATACATGGTGGAATACGGATAAAGAGTATGAATAATGTAACACGACCTCGAAACACCCCAATGCCGTGAATATACTGTAGCTGTCGAAAGAGTGCGTATTATTATTATCATTTAAATTAGACCGAGAGTGAAACGTTAGACTTCGCTTACACGTTGTTTGATGCAAATGATTAAAATGTCTTTAAATGACTTGAGAAACATACCTGTTGCTGCCAAAAATACATCGGGAGGTTGTTGACCCGAGCTTCAGAGCGGTTACGCGGCTGTTGCATCCACATCATATCACCAGATGAGGTCGGGCCCTGGCTCCAAAGCGAATCCACCTAAAATATAAAATTGTTAATACTCCTCGAACTTACTTCTGACAAATTAATAATGGTAACTCCGAATCATTTACCAAATTATTAAATTTAGAATTTGATAATTGTCAAAGTGTACTTTTTGGTCATTATTAAACAGTTTGGGAGATATAGTACAGAATCAATACTAGAACAGAAGTGTTTAGTCTAGGGCCAATGGCAGTCCATCGGCTCTAGACATCCCACATTGTTGTTGACTAGGTATAACGAAGAAGCTTCGAAGCTTCTGACTAGGTATAACGACTAACATGTTTGTCATACAACCAGACTTTAAGAAAAAAGAAGATATGTGCAAAAAATGCCTCTTATCATAATTATCCGACACTACTCAAAAATATTTATAAAAAAAAAAACACTTTTTGACTGAACTAGACAACAACACGCAATAATAGAAAATAACCAAGACGAAGAAGAACAAAATAATAAAAATTGTAAATTCCTAGTAAATATTATCGTCAGACTGCCTCGTTGGCCGAGTGGTCGTAAGTGCGACTGCCGGGCAAGGGGTCTCGGGTTCGATTCCCGGGTCGGGCAAAGTATTACTGGGTTTTTAAAATATTCTCAGTAGTAGCACGGAATCTGGAATTGTGCCCGGTATATGGCAATAGGCTCACACTCTATTACATGGGACTCATAACATAAATAGTGAAAAGTGAGTGTTACATTGTACAGGGGTATAATGTGCACCTCTGCCCATCCCTTCGGGGATAAAAGGCGTGATGTTATGTTATGTTATGTTATTATCGTCAGTAGTAGTTAAATAAAATAATGCCTAATTTCACGTGTCGCCATAATGGAAGGACAACTCCATAATATTAGACTACATTTTTAGCTGTATTGTTTGAATGAGGGCCTGAATAATCAAAAAATTAGGGTAACTTTAAATTCCGGTATACCGTCATACCGATAAATAAAGGGTACCGCTTTATTTCGGTACCGTTATTTTTGGGGTATCAAAATATGGTAACCGGTATAATTCGGTACCGGTATCTTAAACTAAAATTTAAAGTTATGAAATAGATATTTACTAGATTAGTTCATCTATCTTATTTATCTCTCCTCGCAGGCACACAGACGTGCAGTTACCGCTGTTTCACACCCACAGAAATATTTAAAAAAGATGTTATATGTATGGTCGCACCACACTCAATGCACCTCTCGCTTTACGTCCCGTAAAGGTAAAATCTAAGATTTTCGGTACCGATATAACAAAAATGTTAAATTACGGTATAGGTTTAATTTCGGTATACTTATTTTATAACAGTACCGTAACGTTATACCTTAACCGCTTTCAGTCCCTGGTTTGACCTAGTGTTTTATTTATAGATATGGTAGACACCCATGACGAACCAGCGCAGTTGTAATTATCGAGGAGGTATTTCTCGTCGGGTGACACGTGTGATGCGAATAATAAGTTACAGTCTATAGACTGTTTCAATTCCCATGAATTGAATATATCACTTAATAATTGGTCCTGTAAACGAATCATAAGATAAATCCTATTTTACATTGATGTCACGACAGATAATATCTAACCAAAAAGACAGTCCAAAGAAATTTATGCAAAACCGCAACCCAATAATTGTTATAAAAAAAGAAAGTAACAAAAAGGAATGAAATAAAAATATATTCCCTAATTTTAGGAATTTATTTTATTATTACCATTTGCGGTTGGGCATAATTTTGGCTTGCCAATAGTCCCACAGATCCAAATTGCAAATCCATGGGAGCGCTATCGGGTAAATTCATAGGACCCATATTCATGACCTAGAAATCAAGAAATCCTTATTACAACAAGGTATTCGTAACTTTCATTACCTATGACTATGAGTGGTTTACTACTATAACTACTACTACTACAACTACTGGTTTTCAATCTATGTGTCAATAAGAAATGTAATTAATTTCTGTATAAAGGTACTCACGTCTAGACCCAGTGACTGTGAGTTCAGCAGATTGTCGTGAGAACCCTGTGGACGATCGAATCCACTGGACATTGGGAACTGTGACATCACATCCTGTAAATTAAAAAGAAATTATAATTAGGACAAATTTATTTACTTTTAACATGCTCAATTTCATACCCTATTGTATGTTTTGATAAAAACCTGCAATGTTTTATATATTGATGTATCTCAATATTTATAAAAATAACATTTCTGCTCATGACTTCGTACCCGTTCCCGTGGAATAAAAAATAGCCTATGTTAACAACACAGCCCTTCAGCCGTTTTAACGTAATTAAGTAAGAAACAAACACATAAACTAAATACTATTGGACCCATATTAAAAATTCTTTCACCATTCGAAAGCTACATTATCCACGAGTAACATAAGCTATATTTTATTTCAGAAAACATATGTTTCCATAAGATATTTGGGTTTTTCGCACACAAGGTGTTTTTATCCATCGACTAGAAATGATACTTATTTTGCGTATGGTAACAGAAACAGAGATACATAATGGTCTTGAAAAAAAGTAGGCGACTTTTTATCCGAATGCGAATGAACTAGGTAACAATAATAAGTCAATAAATTTCAATCCTCCATCAGCGCAATTCTCGTAAAAAGGGGGTTCTTAGTTTTTGTTCCACATATTAATATACAGATTAATGTATCATCACCATCATCAAAAGCCCATAAGCCACTGCTGACTAAAGGCCTCTTCTCTCGGAGAAGGTTTGAACATTAGTCACCACGCTTGCTCAATGCAGGTTGGCAATTTCAAGTTTATAATTAGAAATTATAAGCCCACGTTTCCTCAAGATGTTTTCCTTCACTGTTTGTCAGTGGTGTCTAAATAACTGCCTCGATGGCCGAGTGAATGCCTCGTTGGCCGAGTAGTCGCAAGTGTAACTGTCGAGTAAGGGAATTCGATCCGGGTCAGTCAAAGTATTACTGGGTTTTCAAAATAATTCTCAGTATTAGCATGGAGTCTGGAAATGTGCCTGGCAATAAGCTCACCCCCTATTACATGAGACGCGTAACATAAATAGTGAAAAGTGGGTGTTACATCGCACAGTGGCATTAATTGCCGTAATATGCACCTTTGCCTACCCCTTGTGATAATATGATAAAATTATTAAGTAACAACTTACCATCTGAGCAAATGGTACGACTGGTCCATAGGTGCCCAATGGTCTCATCATAGTTTCGCAAGCCCGGCGCACCATCAGGCTGGGACTGAAGAACCCAGCTTTGTACCAGCTATACATATCTTTAGAAGAAAATGGACCCTGAATGTTCCTCTGAAAAAACAATCATAACACATTTAACATTTTGATTAGCTCATTCATAGAGTGCTCAATTGATATAATGTTTGAATTTACCTCAGGATCCTCATAATACCATTGGTCCATTAAGCTGGTACCGGGCAATGGATTGTTGGCATAAATAGAATTTTCGAATGGATTCTGGGATCCCTGCATACCCAAATTCATCATCATATTATTATTTTGACTCGAATGATTTGAGATTGGCATGTCACTCGCTGCAGACATCTGTAACATTATTAAATGTCCATTATTATTAAACTTCACTCATATAAAATGTCTCATATGGAAATAATAGACACTTACAGAATGACTTACCGATGTGTTATTAGAATTTTGTGACAAGAACAAAGATGAATTTCCATTATTAGAAATACTGCCCATGCCACCGCCGGATGGGAACCCAGGGATGTTCCCTCCACCCTGCATTGAGGATGATCCAAGTACACCCATGCCAGGTGACCCCAGAGTAGAATTATTTTGTATAACTTGCTGTGGCGTGCCTTGATAAGGATGTCCAATATTCGGGTTAACGGGTAGACCCAATGAGGCATTCAGCGCAGAGTTGGTTATGCCCACGTTTTGCATAACTGGCTGCATTGCAGGAGTTTGTACACGAGGCGTTTGCATACCTGGCATGTTCTGCATACCACCTGAGGACATTCCCGTCAAATTTTGCATGGGGCCTGAGGGCATTCCTGGCATATTTTGTAAGGGTGATGGATATCCGGCATTCTGCATAGCCACAGGCATCCCGCCCATGTGTAAACCTCCCTGCATGCCTGATGGCATCCCTGGCTGCATACCACTCGCATTCATTACCACAGGTGGCATTCCGGCCGCGTGGTGCACTGGTGGTGATTGTAAATTCTGGCTATTCAGATGCATGTCCATACTCATCCCATGGTTAGGCATTGCAGCATTAGACATACCCATTGGCCTATTTTGATTTTGTGGTATTGACGATGACATACCGGAATTGGAAAATGGGTTTGACGCTTGTGTGGAATGCATTTCTTTATCATCAAGTGTCATGCCAAATATGTTGTCCACAAGCAATTCTTCAGCAGACTTGAGATCCCTGAAAAACAAACATCGATATAATAAAAATTGCATATAAAAATGATTATTTATATATTACTACCCTTTCGAAACAAATATCGAAATTTTAGAGTTACCTCTTTCTAGTTACAAATTTGAATTTAAGGGTGGTACTCACATGTCTTGGTTAGATTGTAATGGTCCTTTCATGTTGTGTATTGTTCCTGGGCCGTCCTTCATAGAGGGCACAAGATGTTGATGTTTCTGACGCAGACTGTTGTTGGCATTTATGAGGACAGATTGGAAGTTGCCCCGCTCGTCACTTGCTTCTTCTAAATCAATATCAGACCTCATGAGTGCGTCAAACGTTTTGCTCTCTGTAAACTTATCAGGTGAGAATGCGTTATCGTCTGCATATTGGTTTTCACCTTGGCTTGCGTTACTGGCCTCTCCTTCTTCCTCTTCTTCATCTGGCTCAGCTTCCAACTTTTCTGGTATCTCCTGGAGGTCATCATTTGCATATGACTTGTTGGTTCCACTGGCATTGGAACCATCGGTTGTTCCAGTAGAAGCCTGCTGTAAAATCATATAAGCTTTGAAAATCCAGTCGACTTTGATGATGAAATATTCACTAAAATAGATTTCATTTAGTATATATAAATAACCTTTTTATTAAATTTGAGATCGCTCGCGTCGAAACGTTTTGGTGATAATTTTTTAGCCTTTTCTGAAGCCCACCATTCCTCTGAACCTTCTAATATTTTCGATCTTGTTACACCACCGTGCGTGTGAGACCTGGTTAGTGCTGAAATATTTTCACAAATGTTAGTAAACTAAGTTAATTATTTTTAAACTTTTATTTGAAACTTTTTAACAAAATTCACTTACGATATGGAGAATCTTGATGTTTAGGCAGGTTGCTGTCATCATTACTGTAACCATGGAAGGCTCCCGATGCATCAAACGTACCTCCACACTCCGCATTCTCAATGGCCCTAGTAACCAACATAATATTTGTCAGAGTTCTACTCATAAAATAAGTCTGGTAGATGAAACTATACTATTTAATAATCTCAATCTTACCATTCCGGCAAATTTTCTTCATTATTTTGGGAATCTCCAGCGACCCACGTGCGCCTATTGTTCCAAGGCTGAGGTTTGTCATTGGAGGGTCTGTCACCCCAGTCCCTATCTGCAAAACAAATAAATCATGTTAAACAAACTATTTTACTAACAAAGAAATAATTTTGTAGTCTATGGTCTATTTTACTGTACCTACCCCATTTCTCAAGTTGGCGGGATCTACCCGGCTCCGGGGACCGCCATTCTTCTCCGTCATCTCGGCTGGTTGATTGCGTCTGTCGCCAATTGGTGTTATTGCCTGGCCTTTTGCTAAAACACAATAAATAATTATTATTGAAACTTACGACGATATCATAGTCACGATTATTTCTTTTTCTGTTACTTTTTTTTCAGTGGTTAAAGTGATGAAATTAAATTACATAATAATTTTGATATACTTACGATAGGTTAACATATTATTATTATCTTAGATAATAAAACAACATACTTCCTGTATACTTTAGGAGTCCAGTCCGTTGTTTGATCGCCACTATTTCTGTTGCTGACGTTAAGGCTGTTATTAACCCAAGGACGAGTACTGGGACCAACGTCTTCATCCACGCCGACATTAAAGAGAGGCATCCTCGGACTGAGATGCCACATACCTCCTCCCCTGGAACAAACACAACATTACATTAAATTTCGAACTTATTGCTCTTACTATACTTACTAACTCCACAAATAGTGTTAGAATTGATTTAAAACATTAACTATGTGTCGGTTTTTAATGAGATATATAATACAATATTCTTTTGAACAGTATGCTCTGAGTGTCGTACTAAAGTTGCAGGATGCAATGCAAGGTAAAATCTGTAGAAATAGGGAGTCGACCAATATCGTTACTCACTGCGTAACTACACCCAGTTGAACAAATTACTTAGTTGAATAAGTAAACAAGGTATTAAATTACCTTCCCAAAGATGGATGACGTATGTACGAACCGCGGGGCCTGCCGCGTCCGTCACTCATCAGACCTCGACCACGTCCAATTAAAAATCTGTCTCCAGATAGGGATGGATGCCCAATGGGAGGAGCACTCCGCATGTTATCCCTCTGTAATAGATGAAAATACATGGAATATCATGACAAATACACTACTATCATGAAATTCTTAATGATATTACTTTGTGCATGTTCTTGTTACTCACGACATCATCTTCAAATGTGTTGTTAAGTGCTGCCGGTTGTTTCCCACGCGGTTGGTACAAGGTTTCAATACCCTTCAACTCTGGAGGTGCCTCTGCATTTCTATCATATAGAGCTAGCATTTCCTCCCGACCATACCTTTGTAATTATAAGCATTTGTTTAATACAGATAGGAATAGAATAGAAACTACTGTACTGAATTTGTCACTTGTTTGTACCTACCTAAGTTTGGCAAGGAGGACTTTTGAAGGTGTTGTAGAATTTGTAGATGACGATGCTGCTGAAGATTGAGCATTAGCTGATGTGGCTCCCACCGGCCCTCCGGAGGAGCCAGCCATTGATGAAGTGCCTGAACTAGGGTTCACGTTATGGTTGTTGTTAGATCGAGCGCTACGCTCTCTGGAGAGGTTGCGTAGCCATTCGGGACCAAACTTTATGGGATTGTTTCGGTCACCCATTATACACGACTATGAAGAAACCTCTTAGGTCGATTTAAATACCTGCAGCTCAGGAACAGCTGAAACAAAAACTAAACTTCAATATGAAGAATTCAAAGACAGTTTATTAGTAATGTAATATTAATAACACCGCCACCGACCAGCACGTTAAGCGCATTATGAAAATATCGATTTCACTTAATGGAATACAATAACTTATGCAGTAAGACAAGAGTAATAACTTTAAATAATTTTCACCAAAGATGATATGCATTACACAAGCGTTTATTTAAAGCATAATAGAGTTCAAGGACATGGCACAAAAAGAAAACTCGCAAATGCGCAAAAGGCACATTAGTACTCTTATTTGATATTATCTTCGCCATTTTAGTTTAATAACTATCGTGAGTGAGATATACTAAAATAGACCTGATTGAAAAAGAGTAACCTATGGAGTTTCTTGCTCGTTCTTCTCCATAGGAATCTACACCTTGAAATGAGCAAATAGCTTCACTTTTAATTTTTTTTTATTGACATTCAAAAGTGCCTTTCTGGTTTAATTGAAATAAATGATTTTGAGTTTTTTTTTGACTTTGAATTTAGTATACAAAACACTGCTCACTATCGTAAAACATATAAGTTTGCATGGGGCTCATAATAATCTGTGCCATATAATTAATTACGTATTTTAATTAAACACCGCCAATAAATATTAAGCACTAAACCAACTTCGCATAAAACAACTTCACACTACATGAACGGATTACCAGTCTTCTCATACTCAAATATTTCAAATATTGAGCAATTGCGAAATCTTTCTAACAAGTAAAAAAACTAATTATTTTTTTACTATTGTTCTTAAACTCACATTGATAATTAGTTTTATTTTAACTAGATTGTAGATAATTCTAATGAGGGCACATAACCCACTGACTTGCCCTACTTTTTTCAGTTTCATTTTTAAACTAAACTATTGTTTACTAACAGTGATTATGCATAATTCATATTTGTTATGAGTTTTACTTATTCATGCATTACAAAGATGTAAAGTAACTGTGCAATTCGGAAATTCCATCTGAATCACTGCTACAGAGCAATGGAGTTCAATAAAATAATAATATCACAAAAGAAAATTACAATACTGGCCCGCCAATTGTAATTGTAAATGTGTGAGCCCGACAGTCCAAGAATGTATTAATGTAATATTTATTCAAGTTCATTGGAAAGAATTTACACATCAGACAGATAAATTACTTATGCAATTGGAAACTGGAGACTGAAATATGTAACACAATAATTTCAGATGTTATAAAATGTTCTATCTACCTACTTACAATTCTTGTTTAACTCGTTGAGTACCGTCATTATAGACACAATTATAGAACAATAGGTTGCGGTCACCGGTGACCGCTTGATGTTTGACAGTTTAAGAGAGTGCTCTGCTTATAATATTAAATGAAAGAGCATCAACATTATCAACGCTTTTACCTTTTCAGAAACTTAGCCTATAGCTCTGAGCAGTTAAATCAAAAGTAATTTGTAGGTATATTTTCCTAGTGCAAGGGTCATTAAACATATTTACCTACTTAATATCTTAATGAGTTCTAGTTAAGTGTCATAATAGTAATTTGTGTAAAAATACTTATAATTTCTTTTATTTGCTATTTAATCTAATATCTATATACGCAAAGCTCCAATCCTCATTCATTCTCAATCTAGGAAATAAAACTAAATGAAAGGTACGCAAGCAGAGAAGATATTTTTATTGAAAACTTGTTTATGTGCTTTTGTAAACTATGTTAATTAGCACTTTCTATAGCTTTTTTGCTGGGGTAAGAGGCAAATCAAAGAATATGGATCACTTGTTGTTGGTAAGTAACCCACCTCATTCAAGGACATTTTTTTATATTTCATGTGCCAACGTTCGGCCACTATCTCGCCTGGCGGTAAGCGTATCTAATAATAATTCTGTCCACCCTTTCCTATAAAAATAATTTATATTCATACAATTGCTTAAAAAAGTCGCGATTGGTCCCAAGTTTAGGTCGCCAGCAAACATGTTATTGCTTGAATTATTTCATAACTGTTAGTAAACTATTATAGTAAGACAAAGAAAAATCGCAGAAACTTAGGATAATAGTTACATTGATTTGTGTTAAATTTATTTATCATTTAAATCACTTTTTAATAAATGAGGTTAGAATTCTATGAAAAACACTAAAAAGATAACACTAAATTTTGTATTTTTTTAATTATGTATTAATTTAATATGCACCAACTATTAACCCGTTGAAATCCATTCCCTAAATTTGGTCATACAAAAGTAGTCTCTAAACATTAGAAATAAGGTCTATAATGTAATGTAATATTAGTGGAAAGCGGTCACCGGTGACCGCTTAAGGATTTATGGGTTAATTATAAAGACAATTTTACAATTTAAAAAAGGCCAATTATGAAAGATATTTCAAATAATTGTAGTTATCACTCACACTTCCTTGTTGTAGATTTTTTTAAATTATGAAGTCACATTTCTTTTATTTTATATTTAGTGTAGTTTGTAATAGTGTACAATCTATGTAATGACTGTTACCTTTTATGAATTGCCTACCCGTAATGCTTTTCATACAGTAACTAGAAAAAAGTTTTATACAATGCATTGTATAACATTTAGCTATTGAGTTGGAATTAAATTCATGTAAATACTGATATGTGTGCATAAATGCTTATTCTTCAAAATCCTTAGATTTAAGGTTTCATAGTTGACTTTTTTAATTAAATGGGTATTTGTAAATAAAATAAAACATTTCATTTTTTATTTCATTTGTTTGTTATGACGTAATATTAACACTTTCATTAATCTCACATTACTAAATCACAAATTATTACTTAATAAAATGTATTTAAAAATCAACAAAGTGATTATCATATTGTTAGTATAAATTTCTAACAAATGGTGTATAGGTTAACTGATCAGAAAAATTTCCAGACATCTATTATTATTATTGAATGTTACCCATAATCTGGGCAAACATGCACATATGTTTTTTGGATGCATATGTTATGCATGCATGTGTGTGGATTTTCTCTGTAACTTCAAAGGTAATGAATATGTCACCTTCTTTTCTTACTCTTCCTCATCAACTTGTTTAAAGTCTTAGTTTTGTTTTGTGTATGCTTGCCAGCAAACATGCCAATTGCCACTTTTAAACATAGGTCATGTGGTAACCTGTCGTTCAAAGCTTGCATTTTCATCAGGATGACATACAAGTAGTTCAGAATTTATCTGAGATAAGGTCTAAGAGAATCAACAAGCAATTTCAAAACGAATTTATTTGAAAAAAAAAAGGAGACAAGTAATTTAAAAATTACCTTCTCTAGGCCTGAGAGGCCCCCCACATCAGTAGTTAAAGGTTGAAAAAATATATAACTGCATGTAACACCCGGATCTAGTCATTATTATCTTTCTAGAAACCTAATTTAGCATTAAGCATTTTGATATTTGTGTAATTTTTGTTTAGAATCCATGAAAGTTAGTTGCAAGTATTTAAAAATAAAATATCTACAAACTGTATGAATAGTACTACATTTGCAATAATTATTAAATATTATGTACTAATGTAAATGTTAGGATTTGTTTTGTTGTCTTTCCATTATACATATTTTTTATATTAACCACAATAGTGTTTAATTGACTTAAAAAAATACCCAAAAGGAGTATCTCATCACATTGTCACTATAAATAAATGTTTCTTTTTTGTTATGTCTGGTAAACTGATACTGGATATGTGTACAATAAGGGTTAAGTAGGCATTCAACTTACAATTCAACAAATCTTAACAAATCAAGTATTGACAACAAAACTATAAAATAGTAATTATGCTTACTTATACTTTGTTCACTTGAACACACCCAGACTATAAATATTATTATGCATGGAGATATACCACAATTTTACAAGTACACTATCTACAAGAAGTTCATTAAATTGCACAATGATTGAGTTCTCATTTCATAACATTTCAGTTTCTGAAAGTCACTAAACTTTAATGTGGAATAAATTACACTGCATATGTTTTTGGGTAGACTTATTACTTACAACAATAATGGTTTATCAAAGGTACCTAGGTAGCGAGGTAGCTACGTAGTTTGTTCTACACCGATAGATATAAAATCACAATATAAACGAAATACTGTAATCACATCAAACCATAATATTACTCGATGTATCCTTTCAATCTGTAAACCATAAGCACGTCGCGTAAAGAATTCCAACGGATTGAAACGAAACACACAATCCAAGAGTCAAGGTGGCAGGTAGGTAGGAACAGAATTACCATACGTTTTCAATAAAAAGGAATAGTTTCGCGATTTATACATATTTGAATATTATTATAAATGTTGGATCATAACGAAATTGCATCAAGTAAGGAATTAGAATATAATTACCTAAATGCCAAGTGATTCAATATCAAACGCACGCACGGGGACAGCAATATGGCGCCGGAGGTAATGTGAATTGTGAAGTATGAGATTTTTTTATGATCCATCAAAATGTTGCTATATATAAAACAGCATCAACGTATTCGGAGTAATGTAGTTCGGTAATTAGTAACATTTAAATCTCACACTAAATATTAAAGTTAATAAAATAAACAATTTAATAAAAATAAATATCTAAAAGTTTATATAGCAGTATTCGGTACAAATAAAAACTATGAACTTTTGAACGTGGTGTTTTAAACGTGGTTATTGATATAGTGAGTGATGGTCGAACCTTCGTTATGTAAGATGAAGCTTTGCCTTTGCTCATCAGTGCCAGCCACATAATAACTATATTAATATACTGTTGATGCGATGTGATCACAGACGTTTAAAAGAATGTAATGAAATTTGGTACCTGCTGTGAATAAATTTAAAATTCATTGCATTTGAAGTTTGATTTTATTCGTTATTCCGACTTGGATAATTATTAATAATTGAATTGGCCAAATAATAAAAAATGAAGAAATATTATTTTCATTTAAAGAGATCACTATTTAAGATAAATTCAATCACTATAAATATTAATATGATTTACCTGTTCAAGTGAAAAATCTTAGATATACAACATCATATCAGTGAGTTTTTCCACTGATATGATGTTGACGCGACTTTTGTCGCGGAGAAAATAACGGGTAACCGCGGCTCCGGTTCGACGTGCAGGAGAAGGAACGGGGTGGTTTTTAGTCAACCAGTAAGAGTCTGACACTCCCTCCCGCCTCACCCAGGCGGGAGCAGTCATTCGATGATTCTCCCGCTTTCAAAAAAAAAAAAAGTTGGAAAAACATTATTTGTTTCCATTTTACATTTACAACTGTCATCGCTTGATTGTTAGACAAGCGATGACAACTATAATAAAACTTATTAGTAAGTTTGCCACTACTCTACTAGAGTTCACTCTAGTACATTCTTTGATTATGGCAGCCCCACTGTGATTATATTTACTATGGGCAACCCTCGATGCACACCAACATTAGCCAACAAAATAATCTACCTAGCTTTTTTTTGACTAAAGAGTACATTGTTTATGGAGTACCCCCACAGTAAACGAAGTAAAACTAAAACAGCATAAAATCTAAAAGCATTAAAGACGACATTTTACATGACATAATGCCTTGAAGTAAAAATGGAAAAGCAAACAGTTTATTTTATTTCTAAATTGAGATTAAGCATCAAGACAGAATGGGCAAAACCACAAGATATCACGTAGCCAGAAGAAGAATAAACAGTTACTTTACTATAATAATATACTAATCATGAACATAGATTATCTACAAACGTAACTAGTCGTTAAACTTACATATAACTAACTTTTGCTAGCTATCCTGTAGTATAATAAATAAATAAATAAATAATAAGTACCCTATAATTATGTTATTCCGGACCGTATTCTAATCCTGTTCCAAAATGTTATAGACTAAACATCATACCGATCCCATCAGAAGTTTTAACGTGATTGAGTAACAAACGAACATACATACAAACACACCAACTTTCGCATAATATTAGTAAGATTCTTTATTATAATTATGTATGACCAAAATTGTATAATAATATTATTATTCATCTATGATCTACACAGACAGCGTACTCCATGAGTGTGCATTCCAGATTCAAATCATAATTAATAATAATTAATTAATACTCGAATCATAATTTTATTCATAGCTCTATGTCATCGACAAAATGACACATAGACAAATTTGACAACGTTAGCTGTCTAATGTCTGTTAATGTCAGCTGTCTAATGTCAAAATATGCATGCTTGTTTGTTACATTCAAATTCTATCGACTTGTATTTACAGCTGAGTTGAAATAATCTTTAATTGTTATTTCATGCTACGTTTATAAGGTAATAGCGGCCCGTCCCGGCTTCGCACGGGGGGACTTAAGATTTTTTACATAGTTTTACGTTTTATTTATATTTATTCTCAGTTTTTTTTTATTTAGGAAGTATTTACCTTTTGAAAGTATTTTTCCGGACTTCATTTACTTATTTCATTTATTTATGAACAATTCATCTATAGAGCATTTTTGTATAACTTTAACTATATGTTCAGCGCACGCCACGGAAGGCCTACTTACTAGGAAACGATACTTTTCCCCCGTTTTTAAAACATTTTTGGTTACTGCTCCACAACTATAGGACCTAGCGTGATATTATATAGCCTATGTTACTTCTGAATAATGCAGCTTTCTAATGGGGAAAAAATTATTGCAATCGGTCCAGTAGTTTTTGAGTTTATTCATTACAAACATACAAAAATACAAATCTTTCCTCTTTATAATATTAGTATAGATTGCATTACTTCTTTACAAATCAACACTTTTACAGTCTACATACCTACCATTATTATCTATGATGAAAATATTTCAAAAGCGTTATACCACAGACAGAAACTTTAATCACTGAAACTAATAAATGCAATTATATCGCTTTTCTTATCAAATTTAGCATTACACAAAGGTATGTAATATGTAACCTACACATACGTAGGTATAAAATTAATTTCTGTACTTGATCTTTGTTGTAAAATAATAATACCTATTGTAGAATTCGTAGAAGGCTACGTCTCCATTTACATTTAGTTATAAAGTACAAATTGCCGTGTCATACTGTCCTGCCGTAATGACTTGGAGGTTAAGGCGCCCGTTTCTTAAGCGTGAGGGTGCGTGTTTAAAACTGGCAAGTACCAATGTGCCTTTGCCAAGTTATTCCTATACACATTCTAAGTTTATTTAGGTATCATTGATATATTATACGAAAACATCATCAGAGGTCAGAGACTTAGACTTTTAATAATTAATACTGACTTATAGGTCTGAGATCACCTAACCCAATCCCCTTCTAGCAACTATGGTGATTAGTGCTGATTGCTAATTTGTTCTACATATTATATGTTGATGACGATAAGGACTAAATAAATTTATAATGGAACTTGTGTTCCAGGTGTCTCTTGTCCATCAATCAGGTACACCGAGTAATGTGTCCATGATGTATTTTCAGTTATTGTGGCTTTGTTTCACTTAACTAACTACTCAAGCGCATTTTTCAAGGGTTGCTTGGCTTCTGCTGATTGCAAAGTAATGTTTAGCCCCTTCTCAGTAAATTAATTAACAAACATTATAGATATTGTTCAGACAAGCAAACTCAGTTTTATTTATTAAGTTCTTTTCATTTAGATTTTCATCTTAAATCAAATTAGGCATCTACAGGATTTATTTTTGTTTTTTGTAAGCAATAAATCAGGGACACTTCGTGTTATTTATATATTTCTACAGATTTAACTTGTTGAAATTCATCCCCTAAATTTGTTCATACAAAAGTAGTCTCTAAACATTGGAAATAAGGTCTATAATGTAGTTAGTGGAGAGCAGTCACCGGTGACCGCTTGGGGATGTATGGGCTCAGTTTCACTAGGAGACATGTCGCGGAAATATATCAGCAAACATTAACGTGGGATGTCTTTGTAACTTTGTGGGAAAATGTCACTCAATATTTCGCTGGGTTGGGCCACATTGGCCAGTTGTGATCTATATGTTGTCCGAAGAGGAGTCAGTTTCTCGTTGGACCATACTACTGCCATTTCCAGAACACAAAGCAACACACGTTCTCACTACTCAAAGCCTATCCGGCGACATAGTGCGGGACTCGTGAATTTCGTGTCGAGCTGCAGAGTCGCGGTACAAATGTCCCCTAGCGAAAATGCGGGTTTATACTGCCATTGAATTAACCTATTCTCTGGTTTTAAAGCTAACATAAAAAAGTTTCTACAGTACATACTGTATTTTCCATAACCTAGTGATAGTTAAATGTTTATTTAAATTATTGAAATCAGTTCTAATAACGGGGAAACAGAGGTGTACACTGCTGAAGAGGTGGTTTGTTTGGAAAATCGAAAATTTTCGTAGTCCACCGAATTTGATGCATAAACAAAATAATTAAAAATAATTCGGGGACAAATGAAACTTTTACTTCCCATCTTGCCGCCAAGATCAAGTTTCCCATTTTCCGGGGGTAAGCGTGTAAGTAGGGGGGGGGGGGGTAATAAACCGTCCTAGGTTTGTAAGACGTACCTACGATGTAGTACATATAGGGACCTACACCGCTCGCTACACATATATGAATAGTTTTCTAATCAGAGATTGTCGGCTGTCTCTAGCTTCCGCTGCAATCAGGGATGCTACTAAAGAAGTATCATGGCGTACCGGCTTCTTAGAAAAGTCCTTGTTCAGTTGGTACATACTTATTTTAAAAGAATCTATTCTGCCATTCATTAAAGAATCAGTTCTTGTTAACTGCTATTTTTTGTTTGTAAGCTTTGTTTATCTTATGGTTAAAGGGGTTGGTCAAGGTTGATGAATTGTTGAATATTAAAGAGGTTGGTAGTAAATGTTGGTTGATGGTATTGTCCATTACTGTCTTGTAAAGAAGGGTCACTCAAGGCTGACTGTATATTCATGGGGTTACTATGATATACTCGGTAGTCGTACGTACTCAATGTACCTTAATCCCGATGTATTTACATAGAGATGGAAACTGGATAGTTCCATTTTGTTCTTTACTAAAGTAAGTACTATTCAGTTTCAATATCTAACTTTAGGGGCGACTGGTTATGCCAAATTTATAGATAACTGTGAAAATTTTACGTGGAATGTTTTCCGGACTATTCAAATATCGACTGATTTTGATTTGCATTTTGCCGTGCTTTTGCCTCATTGCAATCGCGACGCTCCCGCATTTCGTGCAATGGTATCGCGTCGGCAGTCCTAAAAAATTATAAGTTTGTATCTGTCTCCTTCACCGGATATTAAGAAGAAATAACGTTTCGCTCGCGTTACCAGTGTAAGCAGAGTGGGTGTGAATTTGCTCTTTTAACCTAAATTGAAGCATATAAGCGCGCGGAACGCGACGCGCCGTACGCTTGGGTCTGGTTCTGGTCGGGCGGCGAGCTACCCATGCTTGCCATCCGCAGGCCTGTGCTTACAGTGG